TAAGAGGTGGATCCGCGCTTCTCAAAACCTCCAATCTCCCAGAGGTCTTGCTACTTGACGTAGTTCATTGTCATATCTATAACTACGTGATGTAGTATTGTCATTACCTGAATGAAGTGGCGTCATTATCAGGATGAAGTACTGTCATTATTTGAATTAAGTACAGGTTGAAATACAGTCATTATCTGAACTAAAGTGAAACTTGCGATCCGAACACTATTAATCTGATTTTCAGCTAATTTCAATTAGTGAATATTTAATTTTACAACTGTCTGAAACTCCCAATCAGAGACCTTGCTGCCGTATGTAGTTTATCGTCATAACTAGGACAGCACAAAGAAAAGGACAAGACAAAGTGAATATAAATACTTGATTAAAAGAATAAATTTTCTTTTAAATAAAGTTTTTTTTTTCATCATTATAAAGAAATAATATACCAGTCAGTTGAGATATTTAAAGAGGAGGTTAGGTATTGCCACCCAGATCTCACTTTTCAGCATTGACACGGCTCAAAAGCGTTTACCTGTGCTTGGGGGTAATGGATTATTTCCCACCCTAAAACCACTTTCCCGCAGTCGAAACATTGCTTGCCTCTCGCTGCGCCATCTATATTTTGGTAGTAGGTTAGAGTGTCGAAGGACAAAATGTCGAAAGACAAAATGTCGAACAGACAAAGTGCCGAACGAACAAAGTGTCGGATGGACAAAGTGTCTAATGGATGATTAATGGGCAAAGAATGGACAAAGTTCAATGGACAAATTGTCTCATGGACAAAAATCAAACGAACAAATCTAACAAATTCGTTTTAAGCGTGTCAATGGACAAAGTGTCGAATGGACAAAATATGTCGAATTTTACAAATTGTCAAACAGACAAAGTTTTTCTCTGAACAAAAAAAAAATGGACAAATTGTCGGATGGACAAAGTGTCTAATGGGCAAAGCGTCGAATGGACAAAGTGTCGAATGGACAAATTGTCGAACAGACAAAGTGTCGAACGAACAAAGTGTTGCATGGACAAAGTGTCGAATGGACAAATTGTCGGATGGACAGTGTCCCGAACAGAAAAATAGTGGAACTGACTAAATAACAAATGGACATGATGTCTAAAAGACAAATTTCCAAAAGGACAAATTGTTGAAATAAAAACAAACATGTCGTCAGGATTTTAAAATCTCGGTTCAAATAATCAGTTAAGCTATTCTACACCTTTTATTGCTTAGCTTTAGCATCATTTAATAAATAATAGCCTTAAAAGGGATTACGCCTCCATGATCAACGGTTAGCGGTACGATTTAGTGGGAGGATGTCGTTTATAACGCTCCGATTTTTACCAAATTGACTTGAGAGTTATCTCATATATATATATATATATATATATATATATATTCATTAACTATTTACTGCAGATCCCTGTTCAAAAAAGTTAGCACTCATGTAGAGGATGGTCGGAAAGTCTTGTCACCACCTAACAAAAATGTTATCAGAATAATAGAAGAACAAGTCATACAGTAATACAAAGCACGTGTACTGGATTCAGTTTATTCACTTTCATTAACGCTGTCATACATCGAGAAGTTCTGTATGAACACTATCATTTTCGTGTAGGAGCTCGTGTCAACCATTTGAAACAGAAAATTATCTTATGCAGGGGTGACGAGACTTTCCAACCACCATGTAGAAATATTTTTTTTGTTTGAAAGTGGAGTATATTAGTTTAAAATTTAAAAGTAATTATTTACCGCTATGATATTTTCATGCTGAATAAAAGGTATTCTATTGTAGGCATATTTCTGGCCTCTTGTCATTTAGTCAGTTTGGCACTTTCTCCATTCGACACTTTGTTCGTTCGACATTTTGTCCATTCGTCTTTTTGTCTCTTGAGACTTCGTCTTCCAACACTGTCTGCACACGGATGTCTAGAGTCATTCGTTATCTATCCTATGATACGCCTTTAAAACAAGCACATATAGTAACCCTCTACCTTGAGCGCTTCTTGGGTCTTGCGTTGCGGGAACAATAGTGACCACACACTTCATATGACCTTCAAGCACAAATGTATGCAGTTTAGACGAACATTATCTTCCATCCTGAAATGTTTTCCAGCCTCTCGAAATCTATTTTTACTGGCGGTTATAATCGAATTTTTATTGGCAGCTTCGTGGCATTTTTAGACAACCTCGGCCAAGATTTTCAGCGCATTGTCACTTTCTCCCCGTGAAAAACTTCTATCAAGGATATTGGCAACTACTCCAGATTTGCTGGGGACGACTAGTCATGCAACACTTATAGGAAAATCCTAGCTCCTAACCAGGTATCGTACACGATGGCGAGTACGTGTTGCGATCAGACTGTGAATTGTTAGTCGTCGTGGCATACCAGTAACAAGCCTGTCGTATTAAATTTTTTTTTTTATTTAAATCTGATAACAAACCTTAGACGTCAAAATTAATATAAGACATCGAAGTTTGCGTAAGGTGGTGTAATGGATAACGTCTCAGGATGTGAGCGGAGTTCGAATTCCAATTGGGTTCGTGGCATACACTTCCGTGCTACATGCGTCAGCAAGGCCTCTGATCGGGAAATTGGAGGTTTTGGGAAGCATGGAACCACCTCTTAATTCCTATTTTTCCCGGTCCCACTTTGAGCCGGGGTGCTAGCACTTGTTAGGGTTTCAGTTATGGAAAACTCCACAAAAAAAAAAACAAAAAAAAAAAAACACCATGAACGTATAAAAATACATTTTTATAGTAAAAAATACCAGTAATGCATTTATATATATATATTAAAAAATGTTAACGATACCTATTTATCGTAAAATTACCAACAATACATTTTATAACAAAATGACCAACAAAATATTTTATAGCAGAATGACCAACAATAAATTTTTATGGTAAGATCACCAACAGTACATTTTTTTCTGTGGTTGAAGGCATACAATCGCGTACAAAATATTTTAAATAACCTATAGAGGTGTTGATATGTAGTTAAACAAAAATACAAAATATTTAAAATATAAAAATTAAATATAATAAATTAAATTATAAATTGTGTTATAAATAAAGTTATAAATTAAATATAATAATATAAAATATAAAAATACAAAATATTTAAAATAACCTGTAGTGGTGTTGATATGCAGCTTAACAAAAACAGCTAACCAACAGTAAGCTGATCCGAAGAAGACTAATTGTCGTACCAGGATCTATCATTGGCTGACACAATTTTATCAGTATAAGGTACGGTGATGATATTATGTTAATGACAGACACAGAAATTAATCTGCAGGAACCGCATTCGTCCTTGCATTAAATACTGTTGTCATATCTGATTTGGTGCTCCTGCTATTCACCTCGACGTTCTCGAAAAAAAATCCAAAGAAAGATCTGTAATTTAATCTGTCCTGAATTGACTTCTAGACTTCAGGCACTAAATAAAAAAATAAATAAATATTCGCTGACTTCCAAAAGGTTGATAAGCCATAGAAAATGAATGAATGAATCAATAAAATGGATAGGATGTTTTGGAATCTACCTCATCTTCCACCATCTATGGAATCAGGGAGCCGAATTTCATTTCCAGTTGGCTTCATAAGACGTATCACTAAAACCATTATTATCTCAATAAAAAAAAATGAAATTGTGTACAAAATATTTAGATTTCGGCATTAAATAATCATAGAGGTTGATATGCCAATAAAAAAAAATCAATCTTACCACTTCCGCGCAAATACACTTGTGAGGGGTATAAATCTATTTCTTTTCCCCTGCTACTATAGGTTGAATAGCAAAGACTGGGCTATATAAGCCTTGGTTGGCAACCAATCTAACGTCGAAAGTAACGGCAGACTACTGCTTGAAATCTTAGCCTAGTCAGTCATGAAATGGCAGAAACATGCATGTATCACGTATAGTACTTGACCGACTAAGGTTTTCATCTTGTTCAGGATTAGTATTTAGTCTAAAGTCTTTCCACCCATCTCCAATATAAGAATCAAGAACCACTCAAGGGAGAGGTTTACTGAATGAGATGCGGGATATTAATATAAGAAAACGAAGAAGATAGTAGAACTAAGGAGAGCTTACGACCATATCACTTTGAAACATCGGTTAAGCAATGTCGAGCCTGGTCAGTACCTACATGGGTGACCGCTTAGAAATGCCAACTGCTGTAAGCTTATGGTGTAATGAATAACGGCTTGGAATTTTTAATCGAAAGCTAAGTTCCAATTCCAGTAGGGTTCGTTATATTCAGTTATGCACAAGTAGCATTAAGAATGGTATGAATCCACCTTTGCTCGCCCCCAGCTATGGATTAATTAGTAAGACTTGTATCATTAAACCATTATTATCTCCTCATTCAAAAAATTCTTACAATCTAAAAATATTTTCTCGCGTTAAATAACCTGCAAAGGCTTGATAAACCGTAAAAAATTAATTAATCAATCAATACGTATTCAGTGAAGAATCCATGCAGGAATTTTCTATAAAATCTCAGTTCTTGGGAGTGAAAACTATCGCAATGGAACCTCCTTTTTTATATTTGGAATGTGGCGGGCATAATGCCGCATTTTCTTTAAAGTCATAAAAATAAAACTGTTCAAAATAATATATGCAAAAGATAAAAAAAGGCTTTTCTTTTTCACTAATGTTCACCGAATATAAGACCCAAGAGACACTCAAGGTAGAACGCTACTGAATGCGGTGTGTGATATAAACGTTGGTCGTTGTTATTTTTTAAGCTGCATATCAACTTCTATCGATTATTTAATGCCGAAATTTAAATCTTACGCAATTATTTGTTGTTGAGATAATAATGGTTTTAGTGATAGAAGTCTTAATAATCAACCCATAGATGGGGGGAATAGAAGTGGATTCATAAATTTCCCAAGGATATTTGCGTGTAAGTGAATATAACGAAGTCAACTGAAATTGAAACTCGACTCTCCGATTAACCAATTCCGAGCCGCTATCAATTACACCACCCGCCCATTCAAGCTTTCAGCACCTGGTGTTCCTAAACGGTCACCCTTCTAAGTATTGACCATGCTCGGTGTTGCTTAACTTCGGCGATCGTACAGGAACCGTTATTTAAACGTGACGTGACCGTAACGATATAAACCTAGGAGGACGAAGAAGGAAATGAAGGAAAGACAGGGGATATGGAGGATAGATAAAGATAGAAAACGACTGTCAACAGGCATTTGAAAAAGGTTAAGATTTTAGTGTCCAACGAAGCATGGGCACGGATGTCTGTTACCTAAAGTAACGGTTTTGTGAAGGATTGATTCGTTTCCTACGGATTATCCACCGTCTGCAGGTTATTTAAAGCCAGAAAATATTTTTAGATTGTAAAACTTTTTGATTATAATGATTTAATGACACAAGTTTTACTAATTAAACCATAGCTTGGGAGAAGCAATAATTCCGTGCCTGTATCCATTACAGCAATCCCACATCCAACTTTACAACGCCTTGTATTCCCCAGCGGTCACCCATCTAAATATTGACCAGCCTGGATGTTGCTTAACTTCGATGATCGTATGGGTGTCAATGTGATATGGCCGTAAGCCGTCCTTTTATTTTAAGAAGCTGAATGGAATATCCTGGTTGCATAAGGAATGAGGGTGATTCAATCATGCGTGTCTTGTAAGGCGGGTCTTGTATGTAAAGGCCTGAACTGGTGGCACTAAAAAATGGAGCTCGTCCAAACATTAATCAGGGAAGTAGCGATAGGGTTTCGATTTTTTTCTGTGGAAAAGGGACTATATAGAGACAAATAATTTATCCCCCACGACGCTGAATAATTTATTTTAAAGTATATCAAGGCTTGAAAAGGAGGATTGAGCAGCGCCAGCCCAGATATGAAAAGCAATAATCGATTTTTGGTCTAGTCTGACTCTTGTCAAGTTAAAGTATGGCAGGTGGATTCAGATAGTTTCTGGGGCGATAAAACGAGCTGATCTTATTCCCCAAGCAATGAATCGGATATATACTACTTGAGGTCCGGGGTGAACTTGAATCCTAACAAAACACCGGTTTCACTACCGAAAGTAATCAACGTCGAGATTGTCAAATAAGTGACTGCTCGGAAATTCTGTATACTATAAGCTTGGATGTGTGGATGGCTTAATGGATAATGGCTCGGAATTATTAATCATATAGCGGAGTTCAAATTCCAGTCGGGTTCGTTATATACATTTACTCCCAAATAGCCTTGGAAAGGTATGGATCCATCTATTCTACCTAGGTATGGGTTAATTAGTAAGACTTGTGTCATTAAACCATTATTATCTCTCGCCCAGTACCCCCCCAAAAAAAAGTAAAATAATTCTCACAATCTAAAAATATTTTCTGGCTTTAAATAACGCGCAAAAGTTTGGTTAATCAGATCAGACCAAACATGTGGAATTGCTGGTATACCTGGGCTGGAGCTCCCCAATCCTCACTTTCCAACCTTGACGGGGTTTGTAGATGTTTACGCGGCCGATTAATTATTTTCACTTTAAAACTACTTTCCCACAAGCCCAACATCGCAATCCTATTGCTAGTTTTTCGTTACTTGGCAAATGTTCACCTTTTGCGAAAGTGCATATATGTGGAAAATAATGCTTAACTCTAGACCTGGATACGTTAAGATTATAGCGATAGGGGAAGCACTGGGATTCGATTCCACAAAGCAGCGGTTCGCTCGAAGAAGCTACTCGAGTGGAACTTGCATCTCAGCAAAGAAATACGAAAGGAATGTGTTTGGCATGGCAAGTTTGAAGCGTGAAGTAGTTCATCTGAACACTTCGATATAGCGATA